TTGTTTTTGTTTTGTTTTTGTTGTTGTTTTTGTTTTTGTTTTGTTTTTGTTGTTGTTTTTGTTTTTGTTGTTGTTTTTGTTTTTGTTTTTGTTGTTTTTTTTTGTGTGTGTGTGTGTGTGAAGGGGTCGACAACAGGAAACCAAGCCCTGCTTCCTTTGGACAGCAAAGCCACCTCCTTATTCCTTTTGCCCACGGCCATTGGACACCCCTCTTCCCGGAAACCCGCAAGTGCAGTCCTCACTGCGTCGCCGCGGGGAGCTCATGGATTCGCTCCTAGGTGCAAAACATAGGCCCGCCGTTTCCAAGGTCTGCTTTCCAAGGGGGTCAGACTGGGTCAGAATCTCGCTTTCAAAAATGAAGGAGAACCCGCCCTTGGTGTTCTTGAAAGGTCCGCCCCCTGCGACAAAAACACAAGTTGCAACAGGTCCGCGGCCCGCTCAACGGCCAAGTGGCTTGGGGCCGGCAGCCACGTCGCTCGCTTGCTGGGACTGGCTATACAAATAGTTGGCTCTGCAGAACCCTGGCTGGATTTTGTCCCTGGCCTTGTCTTTGCATCCCAAAGATACCTCTGATCTGCGATCCTTGAGCCCTTAACCCGCGAGGCTCAATGCATCGGGGGTAGTGCGTACCATTTCCAGCACCGCGCAAAATGGATGGTGGGTGCCAAGTTGCTTCAAATCATCGAGCTCCATCTATCCACCCTGACTGCCCATGGGCCGTAGAAGGTTTCTCAATGAAAGCCCTCCCTGGCATCGAGTAGGGACTGTACAAACTTGGAGGATTTGCCTACAGTATCAGGAGCGACCACAAAGCACGCAATTGCCCGCATCAAGCAACAAGGCGATTCTGGATCAAAACTGCTAGCATCCTCTTAAGCCTCAACAATCTTGAGCCCCCAGTGCATGATTGCCGGCATGAAGGACTAGAAAGAGGCGTCAACGTATCCTCGGGGCAACAACAGGCTTGACTCGACGAGGCAAATCGTGTTCGGAGTCAGTCGGCAAAGGACGATGTTTTCCAAGCTACGGCTCCACATTGCTGTCGCAGCTTTGTCACTGAACACAACGCAATTAACAGGAATTGATATAAAGTAGAACAATATCGTTTGAGCCTGGATGTCTGGGGTTCCAAGCAAACGAGGCTCAAACGACCAAGAAGCTGTACAAACTAAAGGAACTCGACAGAATACGGCGCATGGCCGCATGACTCCGGGAAGCTACCTAGCTCAGCGCTGGGAAGCCTTGACCACATCCTTGAACTCAAGGAATGCCTTGTAGGCAGCCTTGGCATCCTCGGAACTCACCTTGGACATCATGTAAGGGCCCACATCCTTGCCCAGGCTGAACTTGTTGAAGGCGTTGTACACGTCCATGGTCTTGGAGGCCGGCACGGACGCAATCATGTGGCCAATGGCGGCGTTGGTGGCAGTGTAGTCCGCAAGGGTGGTTACGCCCTTGCCGTCAATGCTCTTGATGGCCTTGCTGTGGGCCAACACGCCAGCCTTCAGAGCTTCCGGGTCCATTGCGGCGCCCATGACCAACATCTTATCGATGGCCTTCAACACCTCCAAGGGCTTGGCGGTGGGCAGCACTCCGTAGACGCCGTCAGTCCAGTCGATCTCCTCTGAACACAACAAGCCACTACCAGTATCGTGCAGTGGGTTCCTACTCAGAAACAACAATTCAAGCTTCACGTCCGTGGCAGAACCAGTACCGAAAGTAACAACCAGTAACATGTGTTGGCTTGCAAATCATCATTGTGCGGTCCGACCCAAGTTGACAGAAGAAACTGCAAAGTATGTTCGAGTTCAATGGCCAAGCAAAGTTAGCAAGTGCGCGCACACGCACACACAACAAGAAACACAGACATCGCCAAGCAACAACAGAACCCGTGCAGTTGCATGTGGTCAGTCCTTCAAAAATGGGTAGCTCTTCTCACTGAGAACCTTGGCCGCGTCGTCGATCTTGTCGGCATACGCGGGCGCAGTGCCCAGCAGGGCCGCGGCACCTGCAGCAGCGGCAACTGGCACCTGCCGGCCCGTGGGGGGCGGCACGAATGCACTCTGCCAACCGCAGTAGGCCGCCACGGCCGCTGCAACCACAAGCATCTTGCTTGCCTTCGCCATTGCTGACACGAGGCAACGGGGCACTGGCCGGAGTCAAGGCAAACGAGTCAAGAGCTGCGAGCAACATCAGAAACCAGCAGAGTGCATCACCTTAGCACGTCTTTCGCGCTTCAACTCAAGTCAGCACTGGGAAATTCCGCAAAGGAGTGTTTGACCCCGTCTTGGTCCTCTTCCCCTGGCCGAAGGGTAGTACGTACCATTTCTGGCACCGCGGGGAGTGGATGGTGGGTGCCAAGTCGCAGAAAATAATCGAGTCGCCCCTGACTGCCCATGGGATGATGTTTTTCAAGCTACGGCTCCACATTGCTGTCGCAGCTTTGTCACTGAACACAACGCAATTAACAGGAATTGATATCAAGTAGAACAATATCGTTTGAGCCTGGATGTCTGCGATTCCAAGCAAACGAGGCTCAAACGACCAAGAAGCTGTACAAACTAAAAGAACTCGACAGAATACGGCGCATGGCAGCGTGACTCCGGGAAGCTACCTAGCTCAGCGCTGGGAAGCCTTGACCACATCCTTGAACTCAAGGAATGCCTTGTAGGCAGCCTTGGCATCCTCGGAACTCACCTTGGACATCATGTAAGGGCCCACATCCTTGCCCAGGCTGAACTTGTTGAAGGCGTTGTACACGTCCATGGTCTTGGAGG